TGTTTGCTTTTCAGAATTCTGAGTACAATAGTGAATTCCACCTTGAAGATATGAAGGAAAAATGAGCTGTACCTTGTGCATAGGATTAAAACAGGAGGTACAGAAGGCAGTGAAGTGATATGAGGGGTGCATGTATGGCAGTCTTCTTCAGCAGTGGAAAGAATTTCCTCCTTGCTATCTGTGGTTTGCTGTCCCCTCAGTAACGCTAATGCAAGGTTTTATAAGGTGCATTGCAAACCATATTCGTAAAATCATCCAGATAGGGTCTGAAGAAGCTTTTTTCAATGTATTTCTTTTGTGCAAGTTATTTGTCCTGTCGCATACTGGATCAGGGAACTGCTGGTGTTTAAAACCGACCCAGCTCAGAAAAAGATATTAATTTGCAGACAAGTCAGTTCCCTGATGTGACTTGCTCAGATTTGTGAGTGCTCATATCAGTGCAGTGAAGGGGCAGGAACATGACAGGGTTGGAGGGAAGCAGAAATTCCTGTTTTGGCAATGCTCCACATTTATGTTGACTTAAACCACTTATTAAACTCTATGCTTGTCGAAAAAATATAAATTGATTAGTCTGTAGCTGAATCATCGCCCTGAACTGGCTGTGAACTGTGTTGCATAAGTACTAGTGGTGGTTGAAGGTGTAGGATGAAGGGTGGACTGTGGTAATGTTTCTTTTTTTGTAATTGTCTTGGAGCTACACCTATTGTTTTAGCTCAAAGAGGTCTATATGTAACAGTAATATCCGGGCTTCTCACCTTCTGTGATTTCTCGTCCATTTCTCATTCTGATCTCAGGCTGATGAGCAGAGCTATTTTGAAAAGAAAAAGAAAAAAAAAGAAAAACAACAACAAAAACAACACAAAAAATGAAGAAAAAAGTCTTGGTTGGTAGCCAGCTTCGTTTTTACAAGGGTTATTTTACACTCCTGCAGAACAATATGTAATTCAGACTGATTCCTTCAGGCACTTGCTCAAAAGAAATCTTTGTAGCAGTATTTTGCTATAATTGCATCAGTGTGGAAACCTGGTCTCTCTAGCAACATTAAGCAGCAAGGCGATAGAGTAACATAAGTTTAGATACATCTACGTGAGGAGTTGCTGCATCTGGTAGCCCAGTATAGAGGAGACTGCTGCAGCTCCTGTGGCCAGGTCCACAAGGATGTAATCCCAAGCAGCACACATGCACATTGTGATAAATGATTTAGTTCCAAACAGGATTTCAATTAAAGTTTGCAATTTATTAAATGAATAGAGGCAAGCAAACAGCGCTGGGTGCGCTAGGAGTCTCTGCTCCATCAAGACGCACACCGTACAGTTCCTGTTTCTGGTTTATATTTCTTTTACTAATACATATTCTTAATTATTTCTGAGAAAAGGTGGTCTTATTACAATGAGTTCCGAGAAGTCATCTCCATAGTCTCCACCTCTAACCCCCCCCAGTTGCGTGTGCACAGTGTCTCCTGGCGGTCATGAGTAGGGGTCTCAGGGATGAAGGCTGTATGTCTTCCTCGTGATGACCTTTTCACCTCCCCGAAAACCAGCGAAGTCATCATGACTGTTCTCTGCGAAGTCATCAGGACCGTCCCTGTTCTCCATCTTGGCTTCTGCTTATCCTACACAAGGGTTGTGCAACTTAGAGATATATGGCTTGAGCTGAACTGACTTAAAAGTGGTTAAGCAAGATTAAGCACGTACAGGCTTCTCTTGTTTAACACTATGTGATTAGCAAAAAAACAGGCTGGTATACTAAAATGTTAGGTGGCTTTTGCAAGAAGCGAGAACTATATACGTACCATCCTGCTTCCTCTAGGTCTGTGGTTATACAAGAACAAACAGAATGGTTAAAGGTTACATATACAGAGAAGGTCATATTTCACTATGCGGCCCTAGCATTGTTTTATATTGACACGAAACAGGTGAACACATTTCACATACATGTGCATGCTATACGTATATATTCAGCCAGCCATACAGAAAGTGCAGCACTCGTGCAAACACAAGCAGCCTTAAGGGCCTCATCCTTTCCCTTCACTGTCTGACTGGAATGGAAGTTTGTTTGTGGAAAATACATAAGTATACAATATGGATCCCTCCAGCAAGTGGCCTTAGACTCTTATTCTGCTCAGTAGCTGGTCCTTGGATCCTCTGGTCTCCCAGGTGCCTCACAAACCAGCACTGGGTCTCTTTGGCAGCTGGTCCAGATTTATGACCTTACTGGTGGCCAGTCCCCAGGGGTCCTGGTCCCTCCAGTAGCCAAAACTCAGACCTTCTGGTCTCTCCAGTATCTGTCCCAGACTCATGGTTGCTCCAGTTCTTGGCCCCCAAGCCTACTTGCGGGCTAGTCTGACTTGGTGTTTGCCAGAGATCGCACACTGACATGAGTACCCAGGCAGTTTGCATGGGCTCCAGCCTCTGCCTGCGAGTGCCCCAAGCACCTGGGCCCCTGTGACCCGTGGTACAGCTCCGGTTGCTGGCACGTACAGTGCCATGTACAGTCATGCATGCAGAATAGAGATTCCCCTCACCCAGGAAAACAGTTACAAATGTAGTTTAATGGGAAGACAGGACAAACTGCAGTGATGGTGCAGGGCAGCATGGCTGGACGACTGTACTGAGCAGCCAGCCACCTGTTCACATGCACCTGGCCTCTTTTAACACTTTCCCCCCAGTATTTTCCTATGCTTGTTCTGCCCCAAACCACTTTTATCCCTCCCTTTTCTTGCCTTTGGTTCTTCTTCTAACTATCCTGTACTATGCCTTCTGCAATCCCAAAATACTCTTCCTGGCATCTCATAATGAGTCCCACACCCAGTGGGCAGTAACCCCTCCCTTCAGTCTGCAAGGTGATCTACAGAGAGCCTCTCCTTTGGACTTGTCCATCTGGGTCTCATCCCCAGCCCACTGGGCTGCTCCTGTTTCTAACAGCCCTGGGAGCAGCCGAACTGACGGCTCTGTTTCATTTGTTTTATTGGGGTTCCTCTGTCTGACACTGTTCATCTGTGCTCTTTGTGTCTGTGAGGAGGAGCCTTTAATCACACAACTTAACACTGACTTCTTTCTTTTTGTCATTAAAAAGTCAAGAGACTGGGCACTGCACAACTGCTTCAACAGCAGAGGGTACGGCGTGGGCTCGCCTGTGACACCTTCATTCTAATACTGCCAGCAGCCTAAACTATCTGAGGCACATTCTTCTTTTTTTTTTTTTTTTTTCCAGTTACTGAAGAACAACCAAGTGTATAAATTTTTAAAAAAAAAAAAAAGATAACCACCAGCTTTCTGCTCTTAATATTAGCAAAGTGTGGGGAAATAGGGAAGATTAGGTGTTTAAAAGTGATCATTTTCATGCAGTGCTTCTAACCACACGAGTATTTTGTTTCTCAAATTCTAGCGTAATGGGCTTCAGACTGTAAAATGCTTTATTTAATCTTGGCTTGAAAGCAGTTCCAGCAAAGTGGACTGGTCGCAATTTTGTTAGGTGGTAAGGACAGGCCAACTCTCAGAAACGGTTCCAAACGTTCTTGTTATTCTAAATGCTAATTGATTTTTAGCAGTTAAAAGTCTCCCTTTGTTTAGTTTGAATTTCTTGCTTTGAGTACGGCTTGTGTCTGCTTTGTTTTTTTTTTTCCCCTTAGAGCCAACAAGTTTATACCTACATGTTTATAGCCTT